CCCCATGGAGCAGGAATTCACCCCAAGGAGCAGGAACTGACCCCATGGAGCAGGAATTCACCCCAAGGAGCAGGAACTGACCCCAAGGAGAAGGAACTGACCCCATGGAGCAGCAGCACCCAGGGTTTTGAGCTCGAGCCCTGCTCACTGATGGCTGCACCTCGTGCTGCTGTCCTGCTCTGTATCTGAGAAGGTCCCACCAGGAAGGAAAGAGAGAATCCTCTGTGAGAATGGGCTGAGCAAACTTGTAAAGTGTCCCAATGTTTGCCACTTAACACAGTTGATGAAGTATTACTGTTAAATTCATCAGAAAAAGAACTTCAGAGATTCACAAATACATGTGGAATATCTGCAAATGAAACTGAAGGCAATCCTTTTGACATATAGAAATACTTATCTCTGATACTTTTATTGATGGATTTAACTACAGAAAAGACTGTCTTTGAGGGGATAAAGTTGGTTTCTTCATGGTTTTTTTTTCTTCCAGAATGAACTTTGTTGTTTAAAAAAAGTTACTTGATTTTCAATAGGCTTTTATCACTACAGAGGAAGAAATGTTTTTACCAGGTGTAACATTTGGGTCAACCCGAGGTGCTCAGCTTTGGGAAATCTTATCAAAATTGAAAAAGAAATCTTATTGATTGAGAATTTTGGTAAGATTTCTGGAAGAGTTCTCTATTTTTGCCCTCAGCTTATACTCTGCACATTTTTGATGTGTCCAGTGAATCAAAAAAGAAACATTTTCATGATGACTASCCTGTCTTCCTGGTTTTAAGCCTGCCACCAGCAGCACAGAGCAGTCCAGCAGGAACAGACTCAGGCAGTCAGGCAAGGATTTGCAAGCTGGAGAGAAGGGACAAGAGCCAGGGCTCAGAAAAGCTTAGGAGCCTGCCTAGGACTGGTGTTCAGATGGGTCCTCCTGGGTAAACACAGSAGAAAATGGAAATAATCAAGTGTGTTTTGGACACAAAGCCAGCAGAGAGTAAGAGAGGAGTGTATTGAGGAGATTCCTCAGCAAAAAAAAGAAAAGCTACACAGGAAAAACAACATTTGTCACTGTTGTCACATACTTGTGTRTGAATGGGACCTGAACAGAAAAATAGAGTTTGGGTGTTTGAACAAAAAAAAACAAATGTGAGAGTGCAACAGCATGAGCAACCCTGAGGGCTGTTTGAGCAGGACAAACATTGCTGTTTCCACAAAACACACTGGAATTCTCTCAAATTTGGTATCTCAGAAAACACCATTCTGTGCCATGAGCGCTCTGTAGCCCTGTGCTTGGAGGAGGCTCCCACACCTCCAGTCTGTCCTGGCTCCCAAAATGGGGACTGTCCCCTTTCACCTGGGCTCTGTTTGGCCACTGTTCCCCCTCTGGGTGGTTTTGCCCCTGGTTGAGCACAGATCCTGCCTGTTGTGATGCTCGAGGGGCCAGCAGTGCTGCACCTCCTGACAGCCAGGAGCAGAGCCAGCCAGAGCACACCACAGCTCCCTTTGGGCTCCTGCTGCCTGTGGAGGATGAACTGGGGCTGAATTTGGCCAGGTTTTACTCCAGCACTGGATGTGAACCCAGCAGTGCATCCCAGGAAGGGACTCGAGAGTGGCTGAACAATCCTCCCAGAACAATTTTTTTTTTTTTTCCACTTGTTAAACCAAGGAGAGGATGAACCTTCCCAGATCCATGTGGAAAGCTCCTCTACAAAAAAGGCGTCCTGTGTGCTTGTGGCCCCTCAAGATCTCTCCTTCCTTTAGGAATACCCTCAGTTCCCTGTGTTTCAGTCTGCTTCCATGCTTCTCTGGCAGGGGATTTATTTTCAAGTCTGTCATATTTACAGCTCGCCCAACCCTCTTCTTCTCCCTTTCATATTCCAGAGTGGTTTCACAGATGGCCTAGAGGAGAAAAAAGCCCAGGGGACAAGGCCAGGAGAGGAGAGCCTGAGCTGGCCCCTGCACATCTCACTGCTCATGGTACTAAGCACTGAAGGACTACAAGATTCAAAAATTCTCTCAAGCTCTCTCTCCTTGCTGCCACCCTTCACCTGCCCGTCACCACTCTCCTGTCTGTGCTTGGACATCACTGAGCACAAAGTTTTGTCTCTAAGGATCCACAGCTGTGGCCCAGGTGGAAAAGGGAGGAGGTTTGGAGGTTGGACAGGAGGCTCACACCTCTGTGCTGTGCTTTGAACAGAGTGAGAACAGCCCAGAACTGCTCTGGTTCCACCCCAGGGAATCACCA